CAGAGGGAGAGAACCACACAGTCACTATGTCAATGTGGACAGTGTGTTTGTGTGCAGTCAGCACAGACAGTAGCAGTGTCTCTGAGTCTTTGTGCATGGCTGATGAAGACATTGACCGTGACATCTCTTCTCTGTTTGGTCTGCCTGTTCTCGTCTCTCTGTCCCTCAGGTGAATGTGAATGGCCGGCAGTTCTACCTTTTCCAGCACAGGATGCCCCTGGAGAGAGTGAGCAATCTGGAGATTGGAGGGGACGTCATCATCCAGTCTCTGAACATCCTGGGGGTGAGAGAGGGAGGGAGAAAGAGGGGAGCTACTACTACTACTACCATTACTTCCTGTCTCTGTCACTACTGCTGCTGTAAAAACTCTTGTTACTGTTACTGCTGCTGCTGTATCGACTACTGTTACTGCTGCTGCTATAACAACTACTGTCTCTATTGCTGCTGCTATAATGACTACTGTCCCTGTTACTGCTGCTGTAACAACTACTGTTACTGCTGCTGCTATAACAACTGCTGTCTGTTATTTCTGCTGCTATAACAACTACTGTCTCTGTTATTTCTGCTGCTATAACAACTGCTGTCTGTTATTTCTGCTGCTATAACAACTACTGTCTCTGTTATTTCTGCTGCTATAACAACTACTGCCTCTGTTATTTCTGCTGCTATAACAACTACTGCCTCTGTTATTTCTGCTGCTATAACAACTACTGTCTCTGTTATTTCTGCTGCTATAACAACTACTGTTACTGCTGCTGCTGCTGTAACGACTACTGTTACTGCTGCTGCTACAGTATAATGTAACGCTTCGGGGTTCAGGCAGGCGCCCTTGCCGCATCAGGTCGGCCCCGCACCATAGGGGGCTCGAACCCAGGACTCCCGCGTCACTCAACAGGGACCCAGCCCGGTGAGCTAAAGAGAGATCTCTCCACAGCCCAAGGGCTTCCCTATTACAGGGAAGGGCGGTGACGTCACCGCTCTGGTAAGCCGGCTCTTACACAGTGCCTGTCGGCTGTATGCGTTACTATAACAACTACTGTCTCTGCTCCTTCTGCTGCTATAACAACTACTGTCTCTGCTCCTTCTGCTGCTATAACAACTACTGTCTCTGTTACTACTGCTGTTATAACAACTACTGTCTCTG